TTCAGTCCTCCCCCATCGATGGTGCCTTCAGCCTCTGGCAATTTTACAGCCTCTGCACTATCAGACAGTTCAGCTTTTACTTTGGGTATGGTGATATCAGCCCCAACCTTTGGCAGAGAGATCCCTACTTCTGGCCCTTTGATCTTGGGGACCTTGACGCTAGGCATCTTCACTTCAGGCATTTTGATTTTGCCCTTATCTCCAATCTCCACGTCCATGCTAGGTGCATCTACCTCCATTTCTGGCAGCTTAAGTTCAGCTTCAAGCTGCGCAGAGGGCAGTGTTATTTCCGTTATCAATTCTGCCTTGGGCAGGTCTGCTTCCATAGAAGGGACGCCGATTTCTGCCTCTGGTATACCTTTCTCTTTGGGCAGCGAAATTCCAAATTTGGGCATATGAAACCTGGGCATTTGGAACTTCCTATCCCCGCTTTTCAGCTTGACATCGGGGCCCTGCACAGAAACCTTTCCAGATGGAGGCTCTATGGCTACGTCGGGAGCTTTCAATTCCAGGCTGGCCAAGTCTTTTGGAATCTTTACTTCAGGAGATGATATGATAATGTCTCCTCCCTTCACTTCAGGTTTCTCAACCTGGATCTCAGCTTCGGGAAGAGAAATGTCCACTTTAGGCATACTGACATCCACATCGACTTTGGGGCCCTTGATGTCTGGTTTGGAGAATCCCATGCTAGGCATCTTGAACTTTGGCATGTGTATTTTCAGTCCTTCCCTGTCGATGGCGCCTTCAGCCTCTGGCAATTTTACCTCTGCACCATCAGACACTTCAGCTTTTACTTTGGGAACGGTGACATCAACCTCAACCTTTGGCAGGGAGATACCAACTTCTGGCCCTTTGACCTTGGGGACCTTGACGCTAGGCATCTTTGCTTTAGGAATTTTCATTTTGCCCATATCTCCAATCTCCACATCCAAGCTGGGTGCATCTACCTCCACTTCGGGCAGCTTAAGATCAGCTTCAAGTTGCGCAGAGGGCAATGTTATTTCCTTTTTCAATTCTGTCTTGGGTAAGTCTGCTTCCACAGAAGAGATGCCGATTTCTGCCTCTGGGATACCTGTCCCTTTGGGCATTGAAATTCCAAATTTGGGCATATGGAACTTGGGCATTTGGAACTTTCTATCTCCGCTTTCCAGCTTGACATCAGGGCCCTGCACTGAAACCTTTCCAGATGGAGGCTCTATGGCTACGTCGGGAGCTTTCAGTTCCAGGCTGGCAGAGTCTGTTGGAATCTTTTCTTCAGATGATGATATGGTAATGTCTCCTCCCTTCACTTCAGGTTTCTCAATATGGAGGTCAGCTTTGGGAAGGGAAAGGTCCACTTTAGGCATACTGACATCCACATCGACTTTAGGGCCCTTGATGTCTGGTTTGGGAAATTCCATCCTGGGCATCTTGAACTTTGGCATGTGTATCTTCAGTCCTGCCCCATCGATGGTGCCTTCAGCCTCTGGCAATTTTACAGCCTCTGCACTATCAGACAGTTCAGCTTTTACTTTGGTTATCGTGATATCAGCCCCAACCTTTGGCAGAGAGATCCCTACTTCTGGCCCTTTGATCTTGGGGACCTTGACACTAGGCATCTTCACTTCAGGCATTTTCATTTTGCCCTTATGTCCAATCTCCACGTCCAAGCTAGGTGCATCTACCTCCATTTCTGGCAGCTTAAGGTCAGCTTCAAGCTGCGGAGAGGGCAGTGTTATTTCCGCTTTCAATTCTGTCTTCGGCAGGTCTGCTTCCACAGAAGGGATGCCGATTTCTGCCTCTGGTACACCTGTCCCTTTGGGCAGCGAAATTCCAAATTTGGGCATATGGAACTTGGGCATTTGGAATTTCATATCCCCACTTTCCAGCTTGACATCGGGGCCCTGCACAGAAACCTTTCCAGATGGAGGCTCTATGGCTACGTCGGGAGCTTTCAGTTCCAGGCTGGCCGAAGCCGTTGGAATCTTTACTTCAGGTGCCGATATGGTAGTATCTCCTCCCTTCACCTCAGGTTTCCCAACATGGAGGTCAGCTTTGGGAAGGGAAAGGTCCACTTTAGGCATACTGACATCCACATCGACTTTGGGGCCCTTGATGTCTGGTTTGGAAAATCCCATCCTGGGCATCTTGAACTTTGGCATGTGTATCTTCAGTCCTCCCCCATCGATGGTGCCTTCAGCCTCTGGTAATTTTACCTCTGCACCATCAGACAGTTCAGCTTTTACTTTGGGAATGGTGATATCAGCCTCAACCTTTGGCAGAGAGATCCCTACTTCTGGCCCTTTGACCTTGGGGACCTTGACGCTGGGCTTCTTCACTTCAGGAATTTTCATTTTGCCCTTATCTTCAATCTCCATGTCCAAGCTAGGTGCATCTACCTCCACTTCTGGCAGCTTAAGTTCAGCTTCAAGCTGCGCAGAGGGCAGTGTTATTTCCGTTATCAATTCTGCCTTGGGTAGGTCTGCTTCCATAGAAGGGACGCCGATTTCTCCTTCTGGAACACCTTTCCCTTTGGGCAGCGAAATTCCAAATTTGGGCATATGAAACCTGGGCATTTGGAACTTCCTATCCCC